GCAGGAAAAAGCACAGCTGCGAGCCCGAGCGAGGGCTCGGCAAGAGGTTTGCAGTACACGAAGGAGTCACCATTCTTAGTTGGTGGGCCCGGCTGCCTCGGCCTGTTACCTGCTTGGTCATGCTTTCCCGCTTCCGCCAAAACCACCAGCGCCCAGACTTCTTTGGCATCTTGTCCTTGACCCAGGACTCCACGGTGGCCTGGAAACCATCAACGCGGTCAGCCTGGAGTCTGCCACCCGCCTGGCCGCAGGACAGCGCCCCTCCCAGTGCCTCAGCAGGGGCAGCACCAGCAGGGGCCGGGTCCTGCGGGCGGTGGGCGGCTCCCAGGGCACAGATACTGACCGGCTGGAGGACACCCTGTTGCCCAGATTAGAAAGAAACCTCAGGGCTCTGCCTAAGGGGCCTCAGCCACGGTTCGACCCACGCCGACGTCGCCTTCTCCCCACGGCGAGGAGAAAAAAGCTTCACCTCATTCTCTACTGAACTGACTTCCTGTAAACCCTCCGACGCTGTCCTCCCCAGGGCCTCTCGCAGCCTACAAAAGTGCTCTACCATCCAGCTGCACCCCAGCCCCAAATCTCTGAATGTTTATTGATAATTTTAATTTTAATTCTTTAGTACCGGGGATCGAACTTGGGATCTTGTGCTTGCGAGGCAGGTGTCTGAACGTTTATATTTTGTAAAAATAACAGAAACTGGCGGCCTAGCTAACTTCCTAGATTGTGAGCCCAAAGTACCTTAACAGCCACATACAGCAACCTGGATGTTTTATCCTGAACACTAAGCTCAGGGCAGCTCCGAGCAGCACAAGTGCCCAGCAGGAACCTACCCGGTGCATTCACACTTCCGAGGGGCTCCCGGGGATGCTCACCTTTGGCAGACTCTTCTGGAAAACCTGTAGGCTGAGGATCATGGGAGCAGCCAATGCCCAGTTATAGTAACTGTGAGAAATGAAAATTGTACAAAATCATTACACAGAGCTGGAGAGAGACGGGGAGTAGGCAGGGTGGGGGAGTAGGAGAAAGAGAAATGGCATCTCCAACTGCTCATTCTCTTACACAAAAGTATGATCGACTATATTTCTCTCACATGAAAATCACTGCTACAACCCCAACTTCTGAGCAGAGAAGCAGAGAGACCCACAGAGTGGAGCAGCACTTCAGTGCCTCATTAAAAATAAAGTTGAGAGGGCCAGGGATTTAGCTCAGTGGTTCTGCCGCCTGCCTCGCAAGCACAAGGGCCTGAGTTTGATCCCTGGTACCACAAAAAAAAAAAAGAAAGAAAAAAAAGAAAAAAAAAAGTTGAGACTCCACCTTAAGTCTTGGCCTAGAGGCTCACTGTGGCAGACGACAAATTTTATAGCAGAAAAAGTGTGACAGTTAAACACACACAGCACTTTGGGCCGGTGATGTAGCTCAGTGATTTCGCCACCTGCTACACAAGCACAAGGACCCAAGTTTGATCCCTGGTACCAAAAAAAAACAACACAGCACTTTAAAAACTACAGGAGTGTCAAGCAATGAGCAAAGCAGGAGTACTTACCGGTTATAAATCCGTATGACGAGGTTAGGGTTGTCTATAAGTCCAGGGTTTTCCGCAAACTCTTGATAGGTAATGATATCATCCTAACGTGAACATAATGTACATGGGCCGGGCCGGGCCAGGGCAGGACATGAACAGGACGCCTCTCTTCAGCTGCTAGGTCCTGAGGCGGGAGGTCAGGCGGGGACCCGGGACTCACGATCTGGTCCGAGGAGAGCCGCAGTGACTTCTTATACGACGGGGTGCTGCCATGGCTGGGGGCCTCCTCGGCCAGGGGCTCCAAGGCCATCGACTCCTCGAGCTCCTGGGAGCCGTCGTCACTCGACGTATCGTCCTCGGTCAGCCTGGCAAACATCAGAGCTGTCACGAGGAGAGCTTTGCATGGAGCTCAGGGGATGCAGGCCCCGTCCCCTTGTACTGGCCAGAGCTGCTTCCTCTGCCAGGCTCCACACACACAACTCCTATGCCTGGATGTGAGCACTCACTGCCGAGGCCACCTCTGCCCTGCCCCACAGGGCGCTGCAGTGTTTTGTGCCACGCTGGTGAATGCTATCAGCAAGGGTATGAATGCTTCCAAAGGCAGACACTGCTTTTTAAAAAGCTGGTGAGAAATACTTCACATGGCCCCTCACAGGCGAGGCTGAGCAGCACGAAGATAAACTCCCGGGCTAGAGAGCCTGCGCTGAGAGCTGGGGCGGGGAGAAAACAGGACCAGGGACAGAAACTGGGACAGCATGAGCTGAGGTGCTGTCGCCACTCAGCATCTGAGGGAGACAACAGGAACCTGAGCAGCCCGAGTCGTTCTCGTGCCTCCCTTCCCTGGGGACAGTGCTCTGGACACGCCTGGGACTCAGTGCCGCGTACCCAGCACTGACCCACACCCTGAGACGGG